ATCATCTCTTTTAAATTCAATATCATATATATAAAATCTTTTCTTATGTTACATTATTAAAGATAAACACAAACTTAATTATGACTTTTAAGTTTATTCTTAGAATTTATGGAGGACAATGATGGTGAAAAAGAGACTACATTGTCTCCACTTAAAAAATATAAAAAGTTAATTAAATAAAGAAAAATATAAAATAATTAAGTCTTTTATTAATATGATATGTGATTATCTTTCAAATAAAATTAAAGTTAATTTGAAAAAAAATTCATATTAAATTTAAAACTTATTGAACAAATATTGTGATTCAATTGATAAAAACAAATATAAATATCAAAACAAAGTCTCAGTATAAAAAATTAAATTAATAGTTAAGCCTAAATTTATTTACGATTTATTTTATCATGTTATCCTAAGTTCACTAAAAACATAAATATTATTTACTATTTACGTCATTACACAATATTTTTTTAACTTTAGACAATGTTAAATTAGTCAACGTATATATATAAATATTATCTAAACATGGATAAAGCAATAATTTTATAAAGATTGCTTGAACATAAACAAAACAACCATTTTGTAAGTGTTGCATTGAGAAGGTGAGTCCTAATCAATAAAACCGTGGTGGCCAGATATAAAAAAAATGCAAATTCTATTGTTTGGATGGAGGGAATAATTGAAAAGAAATAAGAGGAAGAAAAGAAAATAGAAATAGATGAAGAGAAAGTGACGAGAAATGAGAGAAATATTTTTAAATGATTTGATTGATGTGATAAAAAAATATTTAAAATAATTTAATATAAGTAAATAATTTTAGAAATATGAAATAAGTTAAAATAAGATTTAAATTAAGAAAAAGTAGTTATTAAATAATAATAATAATAATAATAAATTGTATTTAAATTAATAAATTAAAATATTTGACAAAATATCAAATTTTAAATTATTTAATTTTGTTTATTATTTTAATTGTTTATTTTATAATAGTAACAAATTTGAATTTATAATTGACAAGATATCTCACTACCCATGGTTTCGTATTGTATCAGATTTTATAAAAACATGTCATGAAAGTTCAAGACAAAAGACAAGTAAGAAAACAGATTTCCCATTGACTCAAATATTAGTTTAGTGTACAAACGCATGAAAAATGGATAATAACTCTCTGTATCTTTTCCTGTGGGTTCAGTTTAGTTACTAATTGTTTAGAATTAGGATAGTTTTAGGTTTTTTCTTTAATTTTTTAGTTTTTTAGAATTTTAATTAAAAATAAGTTTTTAGATGTATTTTTAGTGTTTGTAAATAATTAGAAAATTGACATTTTTTTAAACAAAATTAATAAAAATCTGTTTTTATTTTGTTTTTAATTTCTTTAATTGTTGAAATGTCATGCTTTTTTTTTGCTGATGGATCCTGATTTTAATTGCAGGAAGGCCTTTGGTCATTTGAGCTTGTATTGCTATCATATATCAATCCGTTAAAAAACCTTCTTGATGGATGTCCGATAAATAAATTTTAAATTTCTTTTTATTTAATATTTTATAATTATTTAATTTAATTAAAAATTTTAATATTATTTATAGTATTTTTATATTTTAATAATTATTAAAATATGATTTATAATTTTATATTAGTTTTATTAGAAAAATAAAATTAAAATATTAAAATATGAGTAATAATGAAATTAAAAAAACAAAAATAAAAATAATAGCTTAAAATCAGATTTAATATATTTAAATATATTAAATCAGATTTTATTATTATTTTTTCTTTTTTTATTTTTGTTATTGCTATTTTTATTTTAATTTTTTTAATATAATTATTATAATAGTAGAAATTTTATTTTAATAATTTTTAAGAAAAAACCTATATTAAATAATATTTAAATTTATATTAAAATATATTATTATTAAGTTTTAAATCTAAAAATAAAATTTAAAAAAAAATTATGAATTAGATTTCGAAATTCACATATTTTAAAATGGGATGCATAACAACTTTAATAAGAATGTGAAAAAATTAAAAGAAAAAATTTATTAAAATTAAAAATGAATTTTCTTAAAAAGATTGGAGAGACAGAAAAACACTTTAAACTAAAACTGTTTAAGAATTTTTAATCAATTTTTTTTCTTTTTTACAAATTAAATACATTTTTAACTAAGAACAAAATTGATTAGGCTGGTTGCATCTGATCAACAGTTAAATTGTGCCTCTTGTTTTAAAATTAGGCTGTCAGCTGCACTCCCTCCACCACCACATACAGCTAGCTTCCTGCACCTTTTCATTTTGAGTGATTCTTCTTACACCTCACTCAGTTCATCCTGCATCCCCAAATTTACCTCTTTGTCCTTCATTTAATAAAAAGTCAAAACGTAATTAATGAATTTAATTTTTTTAACCTCCAACCATTTTTCTAACTGCCAACCACAAAAATATTTTTTGGTTATAAACCCTCAAGTGCCTTGTTCTTCGTTTTGTACTGTAGCAAGTTATTTTTCTTCACTTCACTTGTTTACTGTGTATTGAATTGGATTGAGTTGTGGTTAAAATTCTCGGGGTGGTGGTAGTGCTGTTGGAAGATTTGGAGATATGCTGTGACGGTAAGAGGAAGAAGAAAGAAGAAGACAGATACGCAACCGCACTTCGAGGTGCGAAAAGACGCAGCCGCACTTGCGTTTTTTATTTTGAGGCCGCACTTTGAAGTGCGGTTTGTGATATGTGTGTATTTGGTTAGAGTGATATTTACTTAATTTATTCCATTACAAACCAGACAATAACTTCTTAGTCTCAATATATATTCTAATATATTGAACCTGATTTGGTTAGAGTGAATTTCAACATTTTAAAACATTTCTCTATAATGTTGTAATGTGTGAACACACGGATCAATAAATAAATAGATACCTGCTGAAATGAATGTGCAGACTGCGGTATATACAATCATATGCTTTAGATATATACTGAAAATTAATTAAGAAAGCTTGATAACAAAAGAAACTTCACTGGTTTGTATACTTTTATATTTTCAAGAAATAACTTAAAATGATTCTCCCAGATCCATGTCACTGCAACAAATGTCACAGATGGTTGAACCATAAGTGACCCACAATGCTAGCAGGATGATTTGAAGCAGATGAAAAGCAGGGTGCACATGGTGGTTGGGGAGGGATGTCAGGTAGTCAACATTATTAAGATTTTTTCACATATTTAATGCAAAAGATAAATATGAAGAGCATAAACCACATGGGCAGTGTTGCAAATTTCTACAGGGTTCAAAATTAATGAACACCATAATCTCAAGGATCCACATTAGACTCTTGCATGTCTAACAATCAGGACCACAACAGCAAAAAAAAATCTATATATAGCACAAAATATAACAGAAATAATGCAAACTATACATTGCTTACATAAATATGGTTCATGCCAGACCTAAACCTCTGAATCCTGTGTATTCTGCTTCCTACTTGCCGCATCACAAAAGTGTATCAACCGCCAAGGAGAGAAGCTGTAGGTCTAGGATAAGCAGAAGCAATTCTAGGCACATCTGCATCACCAGGGGTGCCGGTTGATCGGCCTTGGCCGGAATTGCGTACATGATGATGTTTATGATCAGCACCTTTTCTCTGCATGTCCTTTGATTCCTGAAGCTGCTCCAATGCTTTTATCACCTCCGGTTATCCGCTTCCGCACATCGAAACGCGGTTGTATATGTGTGCCGCAGATCGAACTGCGGTTTGAGCTTACCGCAGATCGAACTGCGTTTCTCCTTGCTGCATATCGAAATGCGTTCTGATCCCCTTCCGCACTTCCAACTGCGGACGTCCATCTCCAGCGAGCTCCGGTGACCGAACACGAACCACGACGAACACGAACCACGACGAACGAACCACAGATTACAGCAAACAAAAATACACAGCAGATGCAAGCTACTAACCTCTGGACGTCAGATTTGTGACGAAAACAACGGAACGCGAGCAACAATGGCAGGAACGCAACGGAGAGAAGATACAGGGACACAATGGTAGAGAGGAGGAGGATGGAGTGAAAAAGAGAGAGCAAACTGTTTGCAAAGGAGAGGGTGTAGGTATAGGATTTGATCGTGAGATGCGGCAGAGAAGAGGAGTTAAGTTTTCTTCAACTTTTTAAAAATCCAAAATATTCCTCTCTCTCCTCGTTTAGTGTGGCAAGGGCATAAGTTGGAATTAAAATTTGTTTTGAAGGTGCAGGACAAGGGTTGTGAGGTGCAGGCATTTTTTTTTTCTCACCACACTCTTGCACCTTCTCATTTTTTTTTCTCAGTAATATTTAATTTCTGTTTTTATCTTTTTACCCAACAATCAATCACTTCATTAATGTCTCCACCCACCACTATATGAATGAAATTCCTCTCAATCTTCTTCTCCCTGTGATTTTTGTTTGCTGAAAGTGTGGTGATGTAATGTGGGGTTATTATGGTGTGTTTGGTTGGAGATAGCAAAACATCGTTGTGGTGCAAGAAGGTACTCCAATGATTGGAGGAAGTGGCAAATCTTAGTAGTGGTTAGAAGGTGGTGGGAAAGCTTCGTCTCAGTGGTAGTTGAAGGTTCACAGGTTTGAATATATAAGTCTGTAAGACTGTAACAGACGTGGATATGAGTTGCTTTTTTAAACGCATGTCAATATCCACTTAGTGGCACTGTGAGTGTCACTCAAATTGAACTGTACGATTCATGCTGAATGACATTGCATGTCAGATTCTTCCAACCCCACAACGGGATTCAGACACTTTCTCATTCCTTCTAATGCTTAGGGCGCCGGAGCTGAAGTCAAAGCGTCGGAATAACCAGGATATCTCGGAGGCAAACCTGCCGGAGTATAACCTTTCCACTCAGATTCCTCTTCTGAAGAACCAACAGGCGAAGGAGAATGAGAATGATAAACGTTGGATCGGGGGCTAAGAATTCCGGCGAGGGACGACGTGGAAACGGAGCGTGTCAATGTAAGTGGAGGCGGTCTGAGTCATGTCGAGGGCGAAGAGGGATGCGTCTGTGGGAGCGAAGAAGGTGAAGGGGCGCGAGGTGGCATTGTTGTCGTTCTGGTGAGAGAGAATGTCCATTTGAAGTTGGGAGAAGATGGGGTGGTGGAGGGAGTAAATCTCTTCTGCATTGCACAAGTTGGGCCGCTGGGATTGGGCTGCTGAGATTGGGCTGCTGTTAGTGGAATGACAGTGTTTTGGCTGCTGTTTCCCTGGGAATTTTGCACTGAGACTTCATTTTGGCAAAGAGCCCTCGAGCTAGGATTTTGCAAAAGGGAAAACGAGAGAGAACGAAAGAGAAAGTGGAGCTCTAGGGCTCAAGGGCCACTTACCCAGAGGAAGACTGGAGACACGTGCGGAGTTCGAACCGGCGAAGTTAAAGAAGTTGATCGAAGGGCTGAAGATCAAGAAGGAGGGAGAAGCGTCCGATTGAAGAAGAGCGCGAAGCGTCGAAGAGGTTTTCTTCCCCTTTCCCTTCTCCCTCTTTTTTTCACCCTATAAAAGAGGGGTTTGTAAATAGCTTTTTGTGTGTATTGTACGGTGGAGGCTGACAGACTCCACTCCACTGGCGAGAGTTCTGTGAGCGAGATATCGTAGTTAGGTTTTTTTGACTCTTTTCGTAGAGTAGCGTTAACTCAAGGTGGTGACAGCCCGTGCTCGGCTTTGCTTCTACGGTTATTTCTCCTTGTACTTTTCTTTTGCACTTGTAATAAACTTTGATTTGTTGGAGTTGTTCTATTCCGATTACGATTCTGGTTTGATTTCAATATTTGATGTGATTTCAGTATGTTTCTTTATTCAATTGTGATGTTAATTCGTTTAATTGCATTTGTTAGCAGTAAAGAGTTCCACTTTTATATTGATGCTTTGAGATTTAGTTTACAGTTGTATTTGATGTTTTTGGTTGAAGTAGTTAGGTTATGATGATTGATTCTACTTTTAATGCAATTTGTAAAGATTAGGTTTTAGTTTCCTGAGTTTAGAGTGTACTAGTTCTGTTTAGATAGTTTCTGATAATTCCTGTTGATCTAGTATTTTCGTTTTGATTGAAATGTGTAGGAGTTAGATGTTGTTGGGTTCATATTGGTTGCATTTCTGAGTTCTTAAATGTATAGTAGATTAGAATTGAATTGTTAGGTTTCATCCCTGCTGCTTTTTGATTTTTCATGTTAATAAAAGTGAGAATATTAAAAGTAGATGTTTCATTTGTCTTAGAATAGGCTCTGATGTTTGTTGAGGGCGAAATTCTGAGTTAGGTTTACATTGGATTGGGGAATTGAGTGAGATTACCACATTCAAGTTCTGAAACATGAACTTAAAAGACCCCAAAGTGGGCTTATTTTCACATAATTTCCTTCTGAAGAGTAATCAAAACTCTTAGCTCAAATCCTTTGTGAAACTGATTTTGAGTTTTGTTTTTGACCAATGTTCATTCATTTCTTCTCCTTTAATTTGCTTTTTCTGCTGTAATAAATGTAGGACAGTTTTGAGTCAAGTTCATTTTATTCATTCTTTGCTTTATTCCTTCATTTTTGATTGGTTTTCTACTGAGTTGATCTTGAATTTAGATTGTGATTCTTCTATTGTCTCTTAAGTTTTTAGGTTCTGATTATGTGATATGCCAGTCCTTGCCTTCACCTCTAAATTTCCATAACACGTATAGGAATATGATTTTTCTTTTATTCATCATTGTTTTCTTTGCATATTCAGGTTCGTTTAGTCACAACATTAATAGGTTATAATATAGGTTCAGATTCTGTTATTAGCTTGCATGAGTAGATTTACATTAGTTTAGGTCCTTTCTTTTAGCATTAATTCCTTAATCTAGTTTGGGATTCATATTAAAATTTCATTTTCTTTATTTTAATACAGATTCTTTAATTCTTTTCTCTCATTTCCCATGCATCATATAGGATTAGTTTAAATACAGTTTTACGTTTGCATCAGCATTTAATAGTTCAATCCTTTTTAGTTCCATTCATTTTAATTGTCCCCACCTAGTTTAATAGTAATAGTTAGTAAATAAAAAGACCTTAACTCTACACTTTAAAACTTGATTTTAGCTGAGTCCTAGGATTGATATCTTGGTTGCCCTATGCTACATTAGTGGGGACCAAGTTTTGTTGGCTTTTTGTGCGACCAAAAAGAGTTTCAACAATGGTGCCTAAAAAAGCCTGGTGCATCCTCAATTCTCTGCAAGCCTGTGATTTTATTGTTATTTTATATTTTATTTTTGCCTTTATAATTATTCGTATGATCTACTATACTAAACACTGATACTTGTTTACAAGATCCTGGTAGAGGATTTAATCAATAATCAATGACATTGTGGAATCACTTACTGATTGGACAATGAAGTATAAGGACTAAAATGTGTAAAGTTTTTGTTTTCTTTGAATCCTTGATTACAATATGGACGTTCTGGTTCATGTTCTTCTCCCTAGCCCCCATGTTATATGCTAAAACCACATATAAGCTTGCTTACATTACTACAGAATCAGAATAAGAAGAACTTCGATCTTCTATTAGCTTAGCTCTTTTGGTTAACACAATGTACACTTTCGTTCTTTTTTGGTTGTATCTACTCTGGACCTTAATATTCTGTAATTTGGTTCAGGCTCAATGTTCTATCTCAGTAAAATTGAACACAAATTGCCCCTGCCTCCTCCTCGTCTTGTTCTTCCCATTCGAGAAGCCATTCACATGGAGCTTGAAAAACTTTTCTTAGATAAGGTTTTTTGTTGCTACTGTTTTCTGTTTCCGTATTGAACCATTATTGTGTAATTGACTTAATTTCCTTGGCTTCATTTTTGGTTTCTATAATCATGTCAGGTTATAGCAAACTTGGGCCTTTGCATTTCTGTATATGATATCATATCCATTGACGGTGGATTTATCTTTCCAGGTGATGGGGCTCCGACCTATACGGTATGAATTCATGGGTTTGTTTTGAACTTGTTATCCTGCATGTGATGAGAGTTCAAAGTTGAACCAAACTTTTATGTTTGAAAGTCATGTTTGCTTCTCTTAACAAAGTAGTTTGACTTTATTAGGAAAGAATTGTTGGCTGACCTAGAGTTTAATCCTTAAATTTTGATTAATGGCCTCAAAATTGTTGATATTCTATTGAGTTGTAATGAGTCTTTTTCAGCATACTGGAACCTGCAAAACGGTTGTACTTTATTAACATCCCTTATTTACAATTTATGACGTATTGTAAGGTCATACTTAGATAAAATTTTCTGTAAGTATTTATAAAGGAAAATGAGTTAAAATGAATTTAACTTCAGGAAGTTAAAATCAACTTATGCACTTTGACTTATGAAGAAGTTCTCATCTAATTCTCCAAAATTAATGTGCATAAATTGATTTTGAATTGTGGAAGAAGTTTGTTTGATTCATCATACGTTTTATTTTTTTTTCTTTTATTGTAAAGTTTATCCAAGTTGTGCTTAACTCACTACTTTTGGTATGATGGCAGAAATGATTATATATTTAATTGTGTCTATGCAATAACTAAGTTCCAATATTTCTGGCAGGTCGTATTCAATATAATTATGTTTCGTCCATTTGTGGGGGAAATTATTACTGCGAGGCTTATTTCATCTGATTCTAATGGCTTACAATGTATGTCTCTGTTTTAGCTAGTTGATTTTGTTTCTGTTGACATGCATGATTTAGTTCCTCAATACTGTTCTATGATGCATATTGCTGTAGAAGAATCACTTTTATGTCTTACTTTTGTTTCATTTCTCTGTTACATTTTACTCGTAGCACAATACTTTCAGAACCGATTAGAGAAGCGAATTGGTTATAGTCAATATTGCCTTAAAGCTTTTATATTTTCTTCCTTTTATGTTTTGGTTTGTTGGGTTGGGCTTTAATTTGTGTTCAGCTTAGTTTGTCTTTCTCTTTTAATTTAAAGCATGATATTATAATAACAAGATAAATGAAAAACAAATATTATAAACTATTTAAAGCGTAACATATAACATATAATCTAAATAATTATTAGTAACAAGACTAAATAAATGATAACAAATAATATAATATAATAAATTAATTAATATTAATAATAAAATAATTTCAGAATGTGATAGGATATGTAATTTGTATGTTAGGAGAAAAAAATATATAGAAGTAATTGTTAGTTGGGTTGTTAGGGGATTGTTGGGTGGAGTGAGGCTTTCTATATATAGTGGGGGTCTTTGTATGCAGGGGGCGTTTTTGAAAATTTGGAGAAGTGTTGGCAGGATCATTGGCATCCTGTGAAGGGAACGTTGTCCCTTGGCTGCATTCATGCTGTATTTGTTGCCTAGAATCAATAATACAAGATCTATTCAGTGATTATAGGTGGTTGCCGTGGGTTTTTCCTGGTTTCCTCTATCTAGGAACCTGACAGTCAGTCATCATGCTATTCTATTAGGATCGATAACTATGAATTTAATTGACGCTAAAAGTGTTTTCTAAAAGAATAATGTGACTTTTCTATGATGGAGTTGTTACCAGAGCTAGTTTTTGTATTTCTGTATCTGTAATGTGACACTGAAAACAACCTATTTTTTTCATCATGAAACAACACCATTTACTATCTGCTTTATCTGAAATGTTAATTGATTGTCAAATATTGATTTATTCAAGATAGTCCTGCTTAATAATTCTGAATCTGTGGCTGGCAGTAAGTCTTGGATTCTTTGATGATATTTTTGTCCCTGCACATCATATGCCCTACCCAAACCACTTTGTTGAGGATGAACAAGGAAAAAGGTGATGTTTCCACTATCTAGTTTGACTTTTTGGATTATCTGTGAACCGGATGCAAACAATCTTTTATTGTTATTATTGCTGTTTTGTTATTATTATTATTATTATTTGTTGAATGTAGGGTATCCTTTAGCGAAGAGTCAACAAGTAATTTTTTGAGGTACTGAGATTTATCTAACAGCCGACATCTCCCATCAGTAGTATTCCTTACTACCATTTATTATTTTTATGTAATGCATACCCTGCTATTTATGATAAACATTATGCTTATCTGTTCTTATTCAAATTACATCAGGAAAGGCGTATGGTTTTGGGATTTTAACGACCAAGAATATCCTATTCAAGAAACTGACGTGGTTAGCAATTCTTTGCCCTTTTTATTAAACTATATGATTGGAAATGTAAAAGTAGATGGTCTGTATAAGGCCTTAAATAATTGAGGTTTCTAGATTTTAAAAGTCCTCAAATTTGTACCAGCCTTCTATTAAAATTGTATCTTTTCTTTTAAATATTAGGGGCAGAGAGGCTGAATTTTCATGATTAGAATAGGGCTCCAAAATTTTTAAGACAGATCTGATTGGAAAAAAAATAAGCTAAATTTTTTACACCAATATGGCAGATCAAATTTCGTGTTCAAAATGTGAGTTATCCACAAATTCCGGTCGAGCAACCAAAAGAATCAAAGCCATTTGCACCTATGTTGGTTACTGTAAGTATTTTGTTGATCATCAAACCATTGTTTGCCTTTACTTTATTCATTAATGTTAAGAAGTGAATTTTAAACTTACTCAATCCTACAAAACTAGCTTGTAAGGTAAGGTTTGCACTCACTTATATATTTTAATTTAGTCAGACCCAACAAACAATGAATTTCGCTAGGATAAGCAATAAATCATGTCTCTTATACCATGCTAACAAGTGAACTTTAAGTCTAATCTAATCTTACAAAACCAACTTATAAGATGAGGTTTGTATCTACTTATATACTTTAATTTGGTTTTATCTTTAGTCAATGTAGGACTTACAACAATTGTCTTAGTTCATGAATACTTAAAACCACATAAGAGTGATGCAAGGTATAGTCGAATTGTACTACCTTTACCATGAATTTTTTGAATGCTTAAAACTAGAGAGAAAGATGAGAAGGGTGGTCCAAGTGTACTACATATTAAAAGGGGCAAAGTATATATGAATGCTTAAAACTAGAAAGAAAAGCATGGTCCAACTGTATTACATATTAAAAGATGCAATGTATATATGAACATTATAGTAGTGCTATATTACTGTGATGGGAAATTTAAGCATCTTTAAATTGTCTTGTTATTTTTTTTTTTTTGTATTTTTAAGATATTTCTATTATAGTTTTCCAGATTGGAGGTTTATTATAAGTACAAATCATTCTTTTATTCTTTCATTTTGATGTATTTAGGATGTTTTTATTATATCAGTGTTATAATGTATTGTTATGCATAATTGATAATGACTTATTAATTTCTTCATTGCGAACATCTTGTTTTGAGGGGGGCATATTTTTTGTAGAGGATCATACCCTCGTCTTAAAAGATTTCTTTTCAGGGCTTCCTTTATTATTTATCCTCGTGCTTCCACCTTAGTTTTGTCTGTGTCATACGCATCACAACATCTTAATTATGGAATAAAATTCTTGAAGGAGAAAAAAAGTTGATTCTCTTCTATTCACGACTAAAAAGTTGTAGTTGAACTTCTGGGCATTGTTATGGGAAGAGATTGGATGAATCCCTATTTAATCAGCAGTATTAAAACAAATTGTTATGCCTAACTAGTATTGCACATTAATGGAATAGTGACCTATCATGGTTTCTATTTTGTAGGGTTCGTTAGATCATGATGGTTTAGGCCCTGTTTCTTGGTGGTGTGCAGAAGAGATTGAGGTTGATGATGAGTAAAGGTGAGTTCAAAAGGTGGTGAAATTTTGGTCAAGTGAAGATGTCACTCCTAGGTCTTTTGTTTAGCCTATAAGATTAGGTTTAGAAGTTGGTTTGGTCTGATAGATTTAGGTTGCTCATGTCCCTGAAGATTAGGTCTTGTTCAATTACTTAGCTTTTTAAACTGTTTAATTTTAGTTCAATAGAATCAGTGTTTGTCTTTGAATTGAGCGTCCTAAATTCCTACAGTGCAGGAGGATGAAATGCAATTTATACATCTGATTTTGGGATCCATAATTAAAGTCACACACACAAAGTTTCCTAGAATTAATGACTTGCATTATATATTTCACGATTAATTAAAGACTTAGGACTGGGTATTTAATAAGGGGTTTAAAGGAAATTTTATTTTATTTTTTATAAAATTCATGTTAAGCCTCACTATGAATTATGGCATCTTAGCTCGGTTGACATTCTAGAGTTCATTTGCCATCTGCCATCTCATGAAAAATATCAAAAGGAAAAAAACATACAAAAATATGGCGGATCAAACCAAACCCATGCAAAACTTCAGAAACCTTAGCAGAGAGTTTAGGTCTCTCTTCATATGGAACACCAAAGAAATACACCTCCGGAACACCATGGGTCATTCCAAAATTTTATTTGGTTTACATCACCTACAGTCCAAGAAGTGTTTTCCAAAACAGTGTCATACCAATTATTAATACCAGGCCATATTCAACAGGATTTATATGAAGCAAGTTTTGGGTATTTGGACTTAAAATCCATGATCTCATTAGAAAAATCCAAGGCATAGAGCTACAAGCAAAATACCAAGCCAACTGAAGAAGATAAGCTTTATTCTCCACATGAAAATTAACAACTTGCAGCCCCCTTTCATATTTTCTGGCATAGAGTTGATTCCAATTAACAACGACAGAACCTTGCTTACTACCATCACCAGTCCATATAAAATTTTTAACCATTTATCCACCTCTTTTAGCAAGTTTGCTGGTCATTTATAATGACAGAGTTTACCAGCTGAATTTTGCCCATCATATTCAAAGTTTTCCCTTTCCAAGGGCAAGCTTGAGCCTAACTTTATTAGCAAGAGGTTAAAGGAAGCGAGATTTAGGAGTCCCCACAAAAATTGGCACCCATAAATAGTTAAATGGTATAAACCTCTATTGCTGCCAAGAACACAATTAACTCTCCTATTAAAGCAGAAGAACAATCAGCTGTAAAGACTCTTAATTGAATTCATCCATTGGCCAGAGGCTGAACCATAGGAATGCAGTAGTTTCATGAGGTTAGTTAGGGTACTCTAATTAACTCTGCAGAAAACAAAGATGTCTTTTAAGTTCTTTTAGGACCAACCATTGGGAGCATGTTCTGAGAACTGATAAGTCGAGAAATCCTACTCAAAGCTTCTTCAGCAACACAAAACAGAAGAGGGGAGAGAATCCCCTGACAAACCCCTCTACTGTAAGAAAAGTAACCAACAAGATTACCATTAATCCTAATTGATAGAAGAGCAGACTGAAGAATCTTTTCATGAGTTGAAAATTTGATGAAAACCAAAGCGCTGAAGCACCTATATAAGAAAATCTCATCTGAGTGTTAAAGGTTTTCTTGATGTCAGTTTTATAAGATACATTATCACCTTGAACTTTTTTGCTGAAGCAATGCTGATACAATATTTAATTTGTCTGCCCTTTGATAAAGCCATTCTGAGTAAAAGAGGCAATTCTGCTAGCAATCAAGGCCAACCTATCAGCAAGAATTTTGGATATGATTTTAAACCTGAAGTCTTTAATAGAGTCAGTCCTTGGAAATATAGGAATAAAAGAAACCACATTGGCATTCATATGAGACAAAATTCAATTTTTGAGAAAAAAATTGCTTCACAAGATTACAAACATCAATACTAACACTATCCCGGCAAGCATGATAAAAAGAACTACCAAAGTCATCAAGATCAGAAGCACTACTAGCATTAAGATAAAAAAAACAGCTTTCTTAATCTCTTCATTAGAAGGGTAACTGGTAGATAGTTATTTTCATCTTCAGTGAAAAGCTATGGAGTATGAGCAGAAATGAGATTAAACAGGAAATCATTGCGAAGGTGACTATGCTCAGAAGCAGTATGTAAATCCTTATAAAAAGATAAAATGTGACATTAAAGCAGTTTAAAAGATTTTATTTATACTAAAAGTTATCATCCTAATCAGTCAAAACTTTTAAATAATTGAAAAAAAAAACTGTTAATCAATTAGAATAATTATGATTTTTAGGGAGGGCAATGAAATATGGTTTCATTTAATTCGGTTTTTTCACATCCTGTAAAAAGTTTTTCAGCATTAAATCTTATACATTTCAAGCATAGAATTTTTGATGAATTGCTTTTAAGAAGTATTCAAATGAATTTCATGACATTCTATAATGTTGTACAAATAATGTAATAATCACAAGTGATGTACAAATATTATAATATATTTTAAGACGTAAATTTTTAATAGGATAAATTCTTTAGTGGTGATTTGATTATTGTGTTTGCTCTTTGATAACTTTTTAAATGACTTATAATTAATATAATCTTTATCTTCAATATTAACAATGAATAAATACTATAATTTTGAATCCATGGTTTAAACTAGAAGTTAAAATGAAAAGATACCTAGGACTTGAAGGCATAAGTTTAAAACTAATTACCGATTAAAAGTATATTGAGTTTACTTTTTTTATAAAAATATTATTCTTTTTCAATGATTTTTGTAATTTTGATTATTCTAAAAAACTCTGTAGAATATTTTCGTATCTTATAAGTTATACCTCTATATAGTCTTTTCAAATATTTTATATTCTTACAGTATAAATCCATTAAAAGTCAAACAAGTCTTAAAAATATATTTATAACAATTCTACGTTAATTTGCAAGACCTTTTATACAAAACTATCTTTAGAAATTTTAATTCATTACATGACATAATATCTATCTCAATCTATCATTTTTAACATGTTTAGCGCTAAGATGGATTTATTTTTTTTTTAAAATGGATATGAAAAATATCACACCATAAATTATTTATCATAAATTCAAAATATAATTATGGGTTACAAAAATATGATATACTATAATTCTGTATGGTTTTGATATCCATGGTATAACTTTGAGTATTTTTCTAAAATATTCTAAAATTATTTCAACTCTTGTAAACGAATAAAATCTTTCCAAACATTTTCAATTCTGACGACATAAACAGTTAAAACCCAAAAAGTATTTTTAAAATAATCTTATAAGATGCTATAATATTTTTTTTTATAAATTTCAATCCAATTTATTTTCTGAAACTAAATATTAAAATATTAATTTAACAATTTAATAATTAATAATTAACTACATACACATTCTCTGTAAGTAGAGTTTATCTGTGCACAACTTCGTGGTTGCTGTTCCCGCATTGTAGCTGCAATTCCTCTCTCTTCGCCAAGAAGAGGTAACACGATCCACAGTTTTTGCTGTCATATTAACAAATCTTCGAATTTTCTTCTTCTTAGTGTTACCAACCCAGGAAATTAATGTTATTTTATGTATAAGTTAGTTAATAAAATATGAGTGAGATGAAATTTATTTTAAAGTCGCGAGGTTAATTAGTCAAAGTTTATATTTTGATTCCGTAAAAGTTGTGTGCAAGTGCTATATGATAAGTATATATCAATGGATTGAATTAAAAATATTTAAAATATGGTATTTGAAAAATAAGAATAATTTAAAAAGATATTAAATGGCTATAGGTTTAATCCTTTAGTACATCCCTATTTATGTACGAATGTCTCAATTGGGTCCTCGTTTTTTAAAGTGTATCAAAATGGTCTTTAATTTTGAAAATTCATATCAATTGAGTCCTTTCCGTTAAGTTGGCTGGACGGCGTTTAAAAAATTGATGATTGGGATGCTGAGATGAGGAAATGTTACTGACGTGGCATTGAGCTGGCTTTAAAAAGAGTTTTTTTATGGTAAATCAAAACGCAGCGTTTTGATTTTGAACACAATCAGTGAGTGTTTTATGAGAAGGAGAAATCCCTAAATTGCAGAGGGTTTTGTCGAGGGTTGTCGGTTGTGTTTTGTGGTTCCAATTTGGCGGACAATAGGTATCGTTTCTAGATTTGCGAGTGATCTATCGGTGGTATTTCGGTAGAATCAGGAAGGTGTTGGCGGTGAAGCACGTGGAAAGCAGTTACGAAAGTGTTCGAAGTGAACCACGTGTTCAGGTTAGTAAATGGTGCTTTTGATTTGAATTTTGTGAATGATTTTGTCGTTTATGGTTTTCGTAACCTGTTTGTATGTTGTATATGTTTTCGTTTTCGATGCAATGTGGTCCCTCGCGTTAGTTAAAGGCGTTGTTTTGATTGTCTTTTTTCAGTGGGTTTGTATAGTGTTAATGCTTTTTTTGTGGTCCCCATTGTTAAGTCTTTTCTTACTTTATAGGTTTAAATATATTGTTGTGTTGTACGTAATGGAAGGAAATTTTGAAGTTGTTTTTCCACCATGGTGGGAAGTTCATAAATGAAGGAAAACTTAAGTATGAGGGGGAGAGTACAAGTTTATCCTTTGACCCAGACATGTGGAGCTATTTCCTTGTAGTCAGTGTAGTAAAAGGTCTAGGTATGATGGGTTTAAGGAGTTGTTGTACTGCGTTGTGGTGGTTCTGTTTGGAAAATAGGTTGGAACCTTTGTTGGATGACATAGGAGCATGCACATGATTACCTTACCAGGCTTACTGGTGAGGTTCATCTATTTGTTGTTCACACGTCTCTGAACCTGAGGTGATAAATATGTTACAATATATTCCTCAAAATACAGATGAAGTTAGAAGTTGAACCTGTAGGTATGGTTATGGGTTGAAGGTGAAGAGAGAGTTGGGGTGTATGGTTGTTGACCTGTTTTAGAAGAAAGATGAGGTTGATGATGTTGTTGAAGGAAATTGAAACAGAGGTGGTGAGGGTGATGATGTTGAGGCTGTTGTGTGGTCAAAGAAGAGTTGAGGCTGATGATGTTGTTGAAGGAGAAATTCAAACAGAATGTGAACAACACAGTGAAAGAGAATTTGAGGTGGCGTTTAATGAGGTGGTGAGAGAGGTGAGGATGATGATGTTGTTGAAGGAGAAATTGAACACATGTGGTGTGGGTGAGGTTGAAGAGGATGGTTGTGATGTTGGAAGCTGGACCAGTAGTGGTCATGATGATGGCAATGAGGAGGTTAATTACGACTGTATGAAGGTCTGGTTCATGTTAATGTT